AGATTTTATGAGAGCGGCATAAATTTCATATATGCCATACACAATAGGTCATCTTCGGTCTCTTTTAAAGTCAAATAATACTGATAAGAAAGTGTTTCTTGCATGTAAATTGTAACGCGAGAACAATTTTCTCTATCAGGCCTATTTCACAATTCAAAGTTGTTCCCGAGTTCAATTATGCCAGAGTTGAGATCGGGTCTACATTTTTTGAAACACACACTAAAAGGATTAGTTGAAGTATAAAGCGAAATTTATGTCTTCCTCTCAGAAATCATGAAACACGTCCTAGTACTAATTCACCATATATCATGGCTATTACGTATAGTCTCACAAACGTGAAATTTATTGCGTATATCGTCGAAAACAAAAAACGTGTTTATATCTCAAAGATAAATGTTATCTTTCTCTAATAATGTCGCACCTATAACCATCTAACTTATATCAACAATTAAAAGATACAAGTTGAATACCTTGCAATTTGTATATTATACTAAAGAAGTTTTCCAAAAATAACTATTTTTGCGTGAAGTTTATACATGTATTATGTTAGTTGAATGTTAAGTCGAAGTTTCTACATCTCTCTTCAGTCTACTGAACATCAGACATTTCTTTTGATTTAGTCCAAGTTTTAAATATATACTTAACTAGATAAAAAAAAACGTATATTATATAACCTATTAATTTATATGAAATACGTCAGTTCTACATTTTAGCTCGTAGAATTACATCGGCTAACTTAGACATGTGATTATACATTGAATTAGAAACAAGCTTCTCTCAGATTCGATAAACTATGTATTTCAATTGTCGATATTTGATCACATAATAGAATAAAATTCTCAAATTGATGTACACAAAATACATAAAAAATACGTATAAAGAATGAAAATCATTTCTTGTTAACAAAAGTAAAAAAGTATGGAAATAATAACAGCAAAGAATGATTAAATTGCACTTTTTCTTTAAACTGAAATTTTTCAAGGTATTTGGCTAAAAAAGAAAGAAACAATCGATGTGAAGCTAGCACGAACACCAATCAGAATCAATCCCCTAACCGACCAATCAGCGCTCGAGCATATTTTACCACTCGTAGTCCATAAAATACCATCAAAACCTTCCATAGCAACCAAACACATTTTCCTACAGCACCTTAAAAATTAGTAATCCCATCAAACAGGACCGCCCTTATATCTTCAACCAACTAATCATCAAAAAAAAAGATCATATATGACATGCATGAACGAACTTCTCAAAATAAATGGGCTCATAGCTCCGTAAATATCCATTGCAAAAATATAAAAGTTATATCACTAGATAGAGAATCAAAAGACGATTCTAATGATATCTACACAAGTTCCGAATTCGATTTTTGAAATAGTCATATAATGAAAAAAAAGATCATATACGACATGCATGAGCTAACTTCTCAAAATAAATTGACTCATAGCTTCGTAAATATCCTTTGCAAAAATATAAAAATTAAATCAGTAGATAGAGAATCAAAAGGAGATTCTAATGATATATAGAAAAGTTCCAAATTCGATTTTTGAAATGGTCATATAATGAAAAAAGAGGTCATATATGACATACATGAGCTAACTTCTCAAAACAAATTGACTCATAGATCCGTAAATATCCATTGCAAAAAGCTGAAAATTATATCACTAGATAGAGAATCAAAAGGCAATTCTAATGATATCTACACAAGTTCCAAATTCGATTTTTGAAATAGTCATATAATGAAAAAAGAGGTCATATATGACATGCATGAGCGAACTTGCGTGTAGGCGTGTGTGTGGGTGTGGGTGTGAGTGTTCATGTGACAGCATAGAAAACCCATCCACACCCACACCCACAACCACAACCACATGCACAGACACCCGACCGACATGATTTATCAGTCAGTTCCGATATTCCCACCCATTGTTCTGAACTCATCATCCATTTCAAAACAATAACAAATACACCATTAAATAGAGAATTTAATTCTCTACAAGATGGCGTACTTGCAAGAGACTGAATCCATTTTGAGATTCAGTCGGGAAAGGGAAAACAAGGACCCAAGTGCCATGCCTCATCACCGAGTTCAGATATTGGGACCGAACGTTGTGAACTCACTATGCATTGCAAAACAACAAGAAATACACCATCAGATGGGGAATTTAATTCTCTACAAGCTGGTGTATTTCAAATACAGATAATGGATTTCGAAACGGGCTCGGAAAAGGAAAAAATGACCCGAATGATATGATGCATCAGTGAGTTCAGATAGTGAGGCCCAATGTTTTGAACTCATGATCTACTGCAAAACAACGACAAATACATCACCAGGGAGAGAGTTCAATTCTCCAGAAGATGGTCTATTCGCGATTCTCAGAATGAATTTTGAAATGCGGTCTGGAAAGCAAGAAACGATCCAACTCACATGGCTCATCAGTGAGTTCAGATATTCGGACCCCATATTGTGAACTCATCATCGATTGCAAAAGAACAACAAGCACACTATTAGATAGAGAATTGAATTCTCTACAAGGTGATGTATTTGCAACAGAGAGAATGGATTTTGAAATATGGTTGGGAAAGGAAAAACAAGGACCCAAGTAACATGATTTGTCAGTCAGTTCTGATATTGAAATCGTGTTTTGCGAACTCACCGTCTATTGCAAAACAACAACAAATACAGCATCAGATAGAGAATTGAATTCTCTAGAAGATGAGGTGTTTGAAATAGGGAAAGTCGATTTTGAAATGGGGTCAGCAAAGGAAAAAAAAGACCTGCGTGAAATGACTCATCAGTGGGTTCAGATATTGGAACCCAATGTTGTGAACTCACCATGCGTTGCAAAACAACAACAAATACAGCATCATACAGAGAAGTAAATGCTCTACAAGAATGTGTATTGGGAATAAGCGCAATCGGTTTGAAATGCGGTCGGGAAATGAAAAAAAGACCTAGGCGACATGAGTCATCAGCGAGTTCGAATATTTGTACCCAATGTTGTGAACTCATCATGCATTGCAAAACAACAATAAATACACTATTAGATAGAGAATTCAATTCTCTACGAGGTGATGTGTTTCGAATACAGGGAATTGATTTTGAAACGGGGCCGGGGAAGGAAAAACAAGGACGCAAGTGACATGATTCGTCTGTCAGTTGAGATATTGGAACCCAATGTTGTGAACGCAATGTCCATTGCAAACCAACAACAAGTACACGATTAGATGGAGAATGCAATTCTCTACAAGATGGTGTATTTGGAATACAGAAAGTCGATTTTGAAACGGGGTCAGGAAAGCAAAAAAAGATCCGACTGACATGATTCATCAGTCAGTTAAGGTATTGGGGCCCACTGTGGTGAATTCGCAATCCATTGCAAAAAAGCAACAAGTGTACCATCAGATAGAGAATTCAATTCTCTATCTAATAGTGTATTTGTTATTGCTTTCCAATAGATGGTGGGTCCACAAAAATGGCTTCCAACATGTGAACTCACTGCTCAGTCATGTGAGTAGGGTCGTTTTTTGCTTTGCCGACCCCATTTTAGAATCGATTGTCTCTATTTCAAATACACCATCTTGTAGAGTATTCAATTCTCTATCTAATGGTGTATTTGTTGTTGTTTTGCAATGGATGGTGAGCTCGCAAAAATGCATTCCAATATCTCAACTGACAGATGAACCATGTCAGTCGGGTCTTTTTTTTCTTTACCGACCTCATTTCAAAATCGATTCTCTGCATTCCAAATACACCATCTTGTTGAGATTTCAATTCTCCATCTAATGATGTATTTGTCGTTGTTTTGCAATGGATAGTGAGTTTGCAAAATTGCGTTCCAATATGTTAATTCACTGATGAGCCATGCCCGTCGGGTAATTTTTTGCTTTTTTGACCCCATTTCCAAATCGAGTCTCTGTATTTGAAATACTCCATTTTATAAAGAATTCAATTCTCTATCTAGTGGTGTATTTATTGTTCTTTTGCAATGGATGATGAGTTCACAACATTGGCTCGGAATATCTGAACGGAATGATGAATCATGTCAGTGGGGTCCTGTTTTTCCTTTGCCGACCCCATTTCAAAATCGAGTCTCTGTACTTGAAATACTCCATTTTATAAAGAATTCAATTCTCTATCTAATGGTGTATTTGTTGTTGTGTTGCAATGAATGGTCAGGTTCCAAGGTTAGGTTCCAATATCTGTAGTCGCCCATGAGTGATCTGGGTGGAGTCGTTTTTTCCTTGCCCGACTGCATGTAAAAATCGTTTCTCTGTGTTTGAAATACACCATCTTGTAGAGAATTAAATTCTCTAATTAATGGTGTATTTGTTGGATTTTTGCAATGGAAGATGAGTGGACAAAGGCCTTTCTCAACATCCAAAATGGGAGTGTCGGAGTGCCACTCACCTATTTTTTTTCCTTTGGAACCCACTTCAGAAATGGATTCTCTATATAATACTTATATGTCCTTGTAGAGCATTAAATTCTGCGTCGAGTGATGTATTTTTTGTCTTTTTGCAACTGAATCTCAGTTGAGAAAAATCGATAACAATGTCTGAACTCAGTATATTGAGATGTGATTCACCTCCTTTTTTTCTGATCGGAACACGTTTGGAAATTCATTCTCTATATAAGAGTTGTATACTCTTATAAATTATTCAATTGTGTATGTAATGATTTTTTTTGTCTTTGCTTTGAAGTTTTCGTTTGGATGAAAAAGTTTCGTGTGTTAGCGTTTTATGCTCATTGAATGGTTGTTAGGTGGAAGCCATGTCCATGGTTTCGTCCTCCATAGTGGAGTATTTATGTAGACCATCAGTGATTGGCTGATGTGTTGACCAATGAGAATTTTTTTTCCTTCGTGGTAGCTTCTCATCGATAAAGAAAAAAATAAAAAAAAAGTGTTTTGTTTTTTACCTTGCTGGTTATTTAGTAAAAGAGCAACCAGAGGGTCAAGGTCGAATATCTTCATATAAGATAAAATAATTGTATGTTGAAGATGCATGTTTTCCAGGATGAGATTACAGAGAATATAACGACAATCATAGCTAATTCCACCATCACTCCATCACCTGACCCAACAATTCCCATAGGGATTGGCTATATATCTGTATTAATATCAGTTATTTTTTTTGGTTCAAATTTTGTTCCAGCAGCAAAATATCCAATAAAAGATGGACTTTCATTTCAATTCTTTATGTGTTGCGGAATATGGATAACAGGTGCTGTTATTAATTTAATTGTTGGAAGCCCTCCTTTTTTTCCATTAGTTTTAATTGGAGGAGCTTTATGGACAACAGGAAATATTCTTTCCGTATTTGTAATAACTATTAATGGTCTTGGTTTATCTATGTTATTATGGTGCACTTCAAATTTATTTATGGGTAAATATTTTAATACTTACATAAGAATATAATTTTAAATGTGCATAAAATAGGATGGGCAAGTGGACATTTCGGTTGGTTTGGTTTAATAGCAGAGCAAGTCGAAAAACCTGTTTTTAATTACATTGGTGTTACTCTTGCTGTTCTTAGCGGTCTCGTTTTTCTTTTTATTAATACTGGAAAGAATAAAAAAAACATTGAAGAGCAACAACCAATTCTTCAATCAGATGGCACACTAACAATAAATAGATTTACTGAAGAGGAATCAAAAGTGGATAGTACTCTATCATCACCTAAAATAGATATTCGAATGCGTATAATTGGATGTGTATTAGCTATTATAAGTGGAATATTTTTTGGTCTTATGTTTACTCCAAGTACATATATACAAGATCATAGAAAGGATAAATATCCAACAGCATCAAAAAATGGTCTTCATTATATATTTTCACTGTTTACTGGAATTTTTTTATCGTCATCATTTTATTATTTAATATATATGATTGTTAAACGTAATCGTCCATATGTTTATATAGAAAGTATATTACCTGCATTCATATGTGGAATTATGTGGGCAATTGCAGAAGCAGGTTTCCTGGTTGCAAATAGTTCATTGAGTCAAGCAATATCGTTTCCATTAATATCAATCGGACCATCGACATTAGCTGTGCTTTGGTCGATATTATATTTTAAAGATATAGTTGGGTTAAGAAATTATTTTATATTTGGTGGTGGAACAGTAATTCGGATAATTGCAGCTATTTTTATTATTTTATCCAAACCAATTCCTAATTGATTAAGATTTTCACAAAAAAAAAATTATTTTTTGTTTGTTTTTCTATAAAACCTTTCAAAATGTGTTCAGAGTCATTGTTGATCCTGTATTTCTATCATTTATATTTTTTGTTGTTGTGTAATTTACTTTGTTCAGAAAAAATAAGTCTTTATGTTGTATTAAAGTTGTTCTATTGGTATTCTATGTGATAAAAAATATTTATACTTTTATTAATTTGTTAGATTTAAAAGAAAAAATATTTATTTTAAAAATAAAACTTAATTTAAAAATAATTTCTATTGTTCATATGATAGATTTTATTTAGTCTGTTTCTTTCAAATAATTACTTTTCTTGTTTTGTTCAATAGTAAATTAACTATTAAAAATCCCATTAAACGATGATTTTTGAAAGAAGTACATGAACATTATTCTGGAATTAGAAATATATTATTGAAAAATATCCTCTCTCTTATATTTCAAATACGAATTAATACGACGAGGACTTAAAACTCTTATGTTAAAATAAATAGAATATATTTTTTTTCTTCAAGATTTATTGCAAGTAAAAATTTAATGGACAAGCTAAACAAAATCTGATTAAACTATATTTGAGAAAAAAAACAATTGCTTTTTAGTTGTGAACTAAGAAGAAAACTTCAAACGAAAGAGTTAAAATAATTTTTTTGTTTTTTTCCAGTAATTTAAATTTTTATAAGTAATAAGAGTTCTAAAACACAAGAAAAAGATAAAGACAATTATGGAACGATCAAAATTGTTTTTTTTTTACTGAAAAATATCCATTTTCTAATTTTTCAAATTGATTAATTAATTCCAAATTTTTATTATTTTCTTTTTGAGCGACTTCTCCTATAAACAGGGTTAAGTATGATATAAGAGAACTAAACACAAATATTGATCAAATTAAAGAAAATTCAAACGAAAGGAAAAACTCCGCGAAACTGTGCTCTTGAAATTGTTTTATGGCTTTTTTTCTAAAATAAGGGTGTGGGTGTGGGTGTACGTCTTCTCTCTTTCCACACTCACACTCACACCACACCCACACCCTTGATAAACTTTATTACGTTCTTTACAAACAAATACAAATAATTTTGACTATTAATAGCAAATAATTTCAAAGCAATTGATTAAAAAAAATCTTCGTATAAAATCGAAGGAAATTTTTCCTTGTAAAATATGTCGTCGTTTATGAGGGTGAGGGTGTGGGTGTGGATGTGGGAGTCAGTGTGGAAGGAGAGAAGATATACACCTACACCCACACTCCACTCATACCCGCACCCACCCCGCCCACACACCCACACTCCACTCATACCCTCACCCACCCTACCCACACTCCACTC